ATGGTACATGCTGGAGCTCATCCTTGGTTTCCTTGTTGTAAGTGTGCCCATTTTGAAATTCTAGGAGGATGGAGAACAGGCGGCTTTCATTAGATGAGTATTTGAGAAGCCCACTGTGGAGAAGGAGTGCATCTAAAATGAAATAAAAACTGAAACAGACAATATTCCTGAATCAGCACTTACCATCCCCCAGCCTCTTCCGTTCTTTCTGGGCCTGATCCAGCAGCCCTGGAAGAACAATGAAACACCATGAGAATGAGTAGTAAGACAATTCATCACAGAAGTCTTCTTCCTTAAATTTCAGTTTTTAAAAGCAGAGACAGGAGTTATTGGGGGCAGTATAAAAAGACACATGAATGGATAAGACACAGATTTTTAGCAGATGGGAGAATAAAATCCATGCAAATAATAGAGCCTTGAGAATTGACATTATTTATATGTTATCCTTTATACTTGGCTTTATACATACTTCATTTATCCAAGAAGTCATACCAAACAATATACCAAAAGAAATCTAATTTACAACATAGACGTATAGAGTTCCACATACATATTTATGAAACACTCCCTCCCCCCTCCATCCCCCAAAACCATGAATTTGGTGCATGTTTGTTAACTGATTACCAAAAGACTGTCTTTATAAACAAAGAGGTAAATGCGTATTTACCTATTTGCATTAAGAAACTCTTTTCTTCCTTCCTCTCTGTTCAAAGTGACTGCTGCCTAAAATACTCAGGTATCTGAAGCAAAGTCTTAATCTTCTACATTCTGAAAAACATCTCATTTGATCTCTTTTATTTTTTTAAGTGTTCATTTATTTATTTTGAGAGACAGCTCAAGCAGGAGGAGGGGCAGAGAGAGAGGTGAGAGAGAATCCCAGGCAGGCCCTGAGCCATCAGTGCAGAGTGCAGTGCGGGGCTCAAACTCACGAACTGAACCGTGATATCACAACCAGAGCTGAAATCAAGAGTAGGACCCCCAACTGACTGAGCCACCCAGGAGCCCCTCGTTTGATCCCTTTTAGATGCTTACCTCATTGGTGAACATGTAATAGGCAGAAATGATCAATGGATTGCTATCTTGATGGCTGATTCTTGATGGGTTGATTTTTAGAAAGGAAAATAAGATTCACATACCCACAGCCAGCAAGTATCCATGACCCTTTACATTCCATTAGAACATGCTCTTGGCTGCTTTTCTAGGAATGGTGAGAAATGTGTACTAATTGATTAATTCTCTAGCTAGTCCTTCCGTGATCAGTGTCACCCACTTCCTCTTAAGGTAGGGAATGCCGAGTAACGTGCCAGAGTTTCTCCACAGTTACCTACCTCTACAGAATTTTCCTCCAGCCAGTTGGCTCATCTCAACATTGAACCCAGATGCAAGAGAGTCAGAGAAAGCTAGCATGGATAACAAGCAAACGAAATGTGGGTGACTCTTAGCTTGTCCATAAGAAGAGAGGTATAGTGGAAAGAGTGATCCCTTGGGAGTGTGGATTTGAATTCTGCCACTGCCGTTTACTAGCTATGCAACACTGGACAAGTTACTTAACTTCTCTGACCTCCTGTGTCTTTACCTTCGGAATGATATCAACGACATCTACAACATAGAGTTGACATGAAATTAGATGAATATCTGCCATTGATTGGGGGTGGGGTTTTGTGAGTAAGTTAGTGAACTAGCACCAAAGTTAATTCAAAATATATAAAGCATATAAACATAACAAACACGTCTTTATCATTAGAAGACCAGTCATGGTGCTTGTAGCAATTGTACGATATAGTATTTCTTGGGTTTCAAGAAGGTCTCAATTCTGATGGCAGAATTGCCATTCATAATAAAGATGTAAAGATGTCTTGAATGGGTCTGGTTTAGCTAAACCCAGCTCTAATGAAGAAAAAGAGAGCAGTTGAGATCATTATCTTTACTACTTGCTCAGGAATGTGTTTCTCAAATGTATGTTTAGACAAACACATAGTTGTTGTAACACAGTCCCATCAGTACCTACATACCCGAGTGACCTCCTGTCTCCCTTGCCGTGGTGCCTTTTACTTCCACATATTTTGAAGTGACAAGGTTCAGTTAAAACTTTCCCTTTCCAAACATGTAGGGCACTTCCTGCCAGAGTTTCCTTTTCTACAAAGTGATTTAGTACTTTACCCTTGCCCCCAGATGATCTGACATGTGTGTATAGTCTCTGATGTAGAGCTTTGTCTCAGATTTCAGGAGGCTGGGGAACAGAGATGGTCACAGAGTTTGGGTAAGGGAGAGAAAGAGTGACACTGCCCATATTGGGTTTTGTCTTCCAGAGCTCGTCCTCCATTTTCCTGGTTCCACCAGTATCCGGGCTATTCCCTGCATGTGGCACACTGTCCACATCCGTCCTGCTTTTGCCCTCCTGACGGTGTGTGGCCTAGTCCCCAGTCCCCTTTAGTTTTACAAGCCTGTCTCAGGGGAAGGGGAATGGTCAGGGCTGGTGGGTGGTGAGGAGGAGATGGAGGACCAGGGGCAGAGGTGGGAAGGCCAAGCCCCCTTTTGGGAAAGGACCTACCTGGAGAATCAGCTAATGAAGACACTCCCCTCACCCCAACACATACACAACCCTCTTTCCTTGGCTGAAATAATAGCAGCTGTTGCTTTATCCTCTTTCAAAGGAAAAGGGCCAATATACAGAGGAAGGTGAGCCCTCTCATTTGACTGTGGATTCTCCTTCTGGGCTCACTGCTAAAAAAAATGCCTTGGTGGTTGTCTATTTCAGAATTTAAAAGTATGGAGAAAATACTTTTATATTGGTTTTCATTTTTAAATTAAAAAAAAAATCCTATAACTCATTTCTTTGAGTTGATAGCCTTGTAGCTGTGGATTCCGGGATAACTTCAACCCCTACCCCATGGTGGGAGGGAGGGAGATTTAAGCCCCCTCCTTTGTTTGCCACTTTGGTTTCCAGTGCTCTGCCTTGACCACTTAGCGCTCTCTCTGAATAGCTATAGGTCGCGAATAGTGGGCAGGAACGTCAGAGAAGTGTTGGCGTGAGAACGGAACAGCACTACAGAATAGAAAGCAAGAGGGAAAGAAAGCATCTCAGAGGAAGAAAATACTGCTGCCTGGTACCCCCTAGCAGAGATATCCGGCCTATTGTGCCCACACCACTTGCTGCAGAAGAATTTCAGGCTTCAGTGGTGACAAGCTCAGGCTATAATGGGCAAGAGAGCAGGCCCCTTCTGAGAGAAATTATTTCAGGCACAGGAAGCCAAAATATTTGAGATGTGATTCAGACCTGAGGATGAAAATGGTGGGATGGGACACTTTGAGAACAGATTGGCCCATTTTGAAGGTTGGTGAAAGTGTTGAAGTGGCATCATCTCAATAAATGGATACTCAGCCCTGGGTTTCTTGAAATGCATGGGGAGGAGAAGTTAAATTCATGCATTAAAGCCAAAGTTGGCCTTGTTGTTTGTGGGAGCTGCAAGTGGTTTTCTCAGAGGCAGAAAGTACAGGAAGATTATTTACATAAAAGCAAAGTTCAAGTTCCCACTCCATTTTATTTGTTGTTAACTAAGACCTGAGACAGTCACTTAAGTGTTTTTAAATCTGTGTTACAGGTTGTTGTTAAAAATAAGAATGTATCATAAGCATGATAATAAGTGTTTATTATGAACGACAGGGTTCAAATACAAATGAAATTATAAATTGAAAGCTCTGGCCTCAATCCCCACATCAGCTCATTACCATTCTATCATGTTTTTTTGGGCAAACCCAGCCAGTTATCTGGCAACTGTGGATACTATTTTTTCCAATACTTTACCTTACTCTAAATATGTTGGTATGAACAGGGTCACTACCTAAAGATTGAACCACTATTAGAATCTGATACTGATCATTGGGATACAGTATAACCTTTTAGTACAATTTATAAAAACACAATTTTAAATAGTAAAGAAAATAGGCCCAATTCATTATAATTGGATTGTACTATAATTGGATTTTAGAGTTTTAGTGTGATTCAGGAGGGGAAAGAAAGAAGAAAAGTGGGGAAATAACTAGTGAAACAGAAGAGCTCATATTATTATAATCTAATCTTCTGAGGGGTTTGTATCATTTCCATTTTTTTCCATCCAAGAGGCATTAAGATGTGTTCCATTTGCTAGAGTAGTAAGGGAAATCTTGAAAGTCACGCCTCCTTTTTTACCTAGGATAACACCTCGCCTGAGGTAGACTTTGAAGAATGTCCTGAAAACAAGGGGGTGAAGATGTTTAACATGAGATGAGGTACTCCATGCCCAGGGGATGAGGTGGAAACATGAGAAGAACCCTACCAAAATAAAAAAAAAAATTTTTTTTTTATAATTTTGATGAGATGAAATGAAATGAAACCACAGAGAAACTGTTTGAGAACTTTGGCTTTATAACATAATGTCTAATTTAAATGCAAGTTGAAGCTAAGTTAGTAGGTGATCATAATAATGGCTTCAATTTTGCATAAAGACATCAAAAAAGAGCTCCCAAGTACTTATATAAAATAATAATTCTTGGAAGAATATTTAGTGCCAGTTAATCCTTGCGAGACACCACAGTGAGTTGAAATATGCTCAAGTTATCCTGCCAGAAAATTGTTCTAAGTAACTCTTCATCTACAGATACACACACGCTACTCGCTATGTACACTCATAGCCTCCCCATCCAGTAATAACGTAGGAGACAATTTAATGTCCCTTTCATATTATTAGAGAGCCATGTGAAATCAACTCTTGAGGCAAGAAAAGGGTGATCAGGTGTTTACTGACACAGCTGATGACTAGCTATTCTATGGCGCTTTTTTTTTCACCTTTTATGATGCTTTGACTAAAAATGATGCCAAGTTCTCATAACTTATGTAAAATTCCATTGCCGGGTGGAATGAGGGCAGGGGGGTGTAGAAGGAAATACTGTTTCCGTTACCCTCCACTGGAGAATTCCTTGGACTGACTTCCTGAAAATCTCCTTCTGTTTGCCTTCACCAGGAATGGCGGCCCTAGATAGTAAGGCGTCAGGGAAGATGGGAATGCGAGCAGTAGTCTATTACATGACTACGACCATCATTGCCGTGGTGATTGGCATAATCATTGTCATCATCATCCACCCCGGGAAGGGCACAAAGGAAAATATGCACAGAGAAGGCAAAATTGTACAAGTGACAGCTGCGGACGCCTTCCTGGACCTGATCAGGTACGTCCTTGCAAGCCCATCCTTTGGGTATGTTTTGACCACCCAACCCCTCATTTGGGGGAGCTAATCAAACCACAAAACAGGTGTCTAACTGAACCAGCCTTGCTGGGCTTTGCAATGAAGGTCACATCTTTACTTCTTTCTAATAGAAATTAAAGTAAATTTCTATTTTCTGATCTAATGGGAAAGAGGTGAGAAGAACAGAGAGAGGATATAGATTTTGAGTGCCCTGTTTTGAGGATTCACTGATCACTGATCACTCTGTTGTCTGATCCCTCGGTTCTCCTTTCAGCTGTGCCGCTTACCTTGGAATATTAATAAGCCTTACCCTACTTTTTTCCAGTTTTGCTGTTTAAGGTTAGCTTGTGTTCAAGTATAGCCTGTGGATTGGACTCTTCTAATTTAGAATTTGTCATCTGTATAATCATCCATTATACACAACAATTTCTGTCCAGAAGGGACTTTAAAGATCATCTGGTCATACTTGTTCTAAGGTTTTCCTTTTATACCATTTATGAAGAAAGGATTTGGCAGAGCAGCAAGAAAAGATTAAAGGGTGGCTTCTTTGGCATTGTTTTGTATATAAACCATACACCGATTGCAAATGAGTCTTATCTGATTCTTGAAAGGGACTTGATGGCAGAGTCATCTCACACAGAACTGTGAAGTAAACCAAGGTTTGATCCTGACACCTTCCTGTTTGTTCTCTCTACACACCTTCGCTTGCATCAGTCAGATCCTGGCTGGAAGCATATTGCATATTCAAAAGGATCCCTGAGAGGGCTTTGCAAAGGTACAGACAGGGTTAAGGGAGCCTACAAGGGGTGGTAAGGCACCAGGGGACTGAAGGCAACAGGAAGGTGTTTTGTTGCCACCCCAGCTCTGAGGGGCAAAGGGAGGAATTCAGGAAGAGCTGTGGTCTTGGGAAAAGGCCCTGTGACAAGAATAATAGCTCTAATTTAGAGGGAGAGCACTGCTGCCCAACCTGTCAAAGAGAGAGCTGAAGAATGTGCATATCCACTTCCATGTCCCACTACCCTGTCATCTGTCGGCACATCCCACTGTACAAACCCAAAAGGAAGCCGGAAGGCAAGAGAGCCCACATGCTACAACCCAAGGGGCCAGACTCCCAGAGTACAGAGCAGGATGGAGAGTGGGTCTAGAAAGACAAATGGAAGATACCCCAGCACAGGCCTCTATATTTCCCACCTGGTTGGCATTCCTCCACCATGTAGCCTTCCCAACCTATCCTCCCCAAACCTGGCCCTTTCCTCCCTACTATACAACTTTCTTACAAAGTGACTGGTTTACCAATCCTAGATGCCTACCCCAAAGGGTCGCCCGTTGATCATCTGAAAGAAAGTCTTCCTAGGGACTTGATTTCACATGCCATCTCAAGGGATGGCTCTGTGGCAGGTAGATTTAGCAGAGATTTGAGCAACAAAGGCTCTCTTCAGCAGCACTTCTGAATTTCTACCATGAATGACTTTGTACCATCTGTTTGTAAGAACAACCCAGCCCCATAGATCCTCTTCTTAAAAGCCCTTTCTAGGAGTTAATCACAATTATCTGAAGGTAAGAAGCCATCCTATATAACATTATTTTATACAAAGTTGTTACCTGATAGCTATGATTTTATTTAGTTCAGAAAATTAATTAAGGCTTTTCACCATTTTTTCATGAACTTTACCATTAGGTAGGTTAGGAGTATTTTATTATATTCTCTTTCTGTATAATTTCTACTCCTTGTTTAAAGAATTGGGATCTTGTCATCTCAATTCTGGTTGATCCATCTGAATGCTGTGTGTTTTTGCCTCTCCTTGCCCGCCCCACTGGTAGGCAGGTGTATGACTAACCTATCCCCACCCAGTCACTTGGCTTGAGCACTTTTCCTGAAATCTCCCAAACCCACATTTCTATCAAGATTTATAAAAACAGACTCACAGAGCATAGATAGGAAGGAAAAGCAAATAGGATGGTCTAGGCAGTAAGAAGAAAGGGACTAGAGTTTTTAACCTTAAAATATGACTTTGATAGCACACAACTGCTGGGATCTCGGGCTCTGCAACTGCCTGGGCCATGTCTCCTCCCACAGTCTTCAACCTTGGAGTCCGAATGATAGTTTAATCCAGTCTCCTCTTCAACAGATAAATCAACTAAAACCTGAATAGGTGCAGTGACTTGGCCAAGGTCACACAGCTGGTTAGAGACTCTCCGGCTAGATTGTTGTCCCTTGAACTCTACCATGAACTCAAACACTGCTCTGAGAAAGTGACAAACTTTGCTACATGTACCACAAGTTTAAGTTTTGTGGGCCGTCTCCCTGTTGGTTACCAAGGAGTCTCAGAAGCTCCAGTAATTCAGAGTAAATATCCCATCCCCCAGAGGGCCTTTGGGAGGACTCTGTAGAGAACAAAATTCAGCAGTCTGACCATGGCATATGATTCAGAACATTCAGTCCCTGGACACATGGCACAAAACCAAAATGGCCACTATTCAATAATACCTCAGTTTACCAGAACATGTGTAGCCAAAGCTGTTTCCATTCTCACTTTGGTTCTTCCTGGGAGCGGGATTTGAAGATACAATGATGAAGTGAAAAATCCCATTGTCTGACAAAAGGACAGAGGAGTTGAATTTGAGATTTCCCTGGAAAATATGAACTACATGGGCCCCACTTAGGGATAACCATATGTCCCATTACAAGACATAAAATCCACCAACACCTTTCTTTTTTTCCCATATGCTACTTAGTTCAATACAATCTTTACCTTAGACACAATGAAAAAGTGTTTAAGAAACAAACTTATTATTTGAGAACTTTTTCAAGTGACCATTATTTTCTTTGCAGGAATATGTTCCCTCCAAATCTGGTGGAAGCCTGCTTTAAACAGGTAAACACTCTATAGCCACTAATTCGCTTTTGAAATTCCTCTTTGGCATACCAAACAGAGTGGGACCTCCTTATCCATTTTGTTTTATTTTTTTTCCATTTCTCTGCAGTAAGAAACACTCTTTTGCCAACCAGACGGAAAGCACTAGGGTTTTCTGGGGGATTTGTAGGGTGTGGGGAGGTCTTACCCTGTACTAAAGGCTTATTAGTTACCAGGTACTAAATGTGTCGCATACGAATAGCTCATCCAGTCTCTGTTAATTGTTAAAAAGGCCAATCAGGAGACTCCCTCCCTCTTCTTGTCCCCACATTCCACACACAAAAGCCCACCAAGCAAACAAATTCTAGTAGAAGATACATTTACAATTTGCTTTAAACATTAGAGAGATTATTCAAGTTTCTGGGTTTAATGTAAAAAGTGAATGGGTTGTTTTTTTTAAAGTCTCCTAAGAGCCTTATGGATTCTATGTGCCAAGCACTAATGTTATATTCAGTCCTCACATGAATATGATGGGTATCATTGTCTTCATTTCATTGATGAGGAAACTCGTCTATGATAATTCAGGATTGTCTAATAGGCACAAGATCTTACAAGTAATAAATGGTAGATCCAGAATCCAAACCTACTGTGCTGACTCCAAATTCTATCCTCTTTCTGCTCCTACATTCTGCTTCCTGGAAAGGTTTGAGACACCTCCCTGGAGGCTATAGTGAGGTCCAGTTCCTTTTCCTTTTTGCCCATATCCAAACAGTTCTTGGCTGTCTGTGTTGTGGATACAAATATACTTTGCTGCTAGGGATTAAAGTTCATTCTAACTTCACCTGAATAAAAAAAGCTTTGTGGCCCAAAACATTAAAAGGAAAACACTTAGACATTCTGGGTTAAATAATAGTTCCAAAACATTTCTCCAGATGGTGTTACTTGACCCTAGTTGTAATTCCCTAACCCTATCTGTAAAACAAACAAAATAAAACCCCAGCCTTGTGGAGGACTAAATTTTACACATACAAGTCACCCTTTGTCCCCCCACTTTTTAAAATTTTTGTTGACTATTTTTAATAGGTAATGTGTGCACACGCTGCAGGATTCAAACAGAATCCCTTCTTTAAAAAAAAGTTTAAGAAGCCCAAATTGAACCTTCTTTATTCAAAACCAACAATAACCATAAATAATAAACCCCTTTCAATCCAACAAGCCAACCCCAGCACCATGGGGCTGACTATTCCAGTTAGTCAGCTGGCACTGGACAACATCAAAAATGCTGATTTCTAGCAGCACCAGGAAAAGTGCAGACTTAAGCAGATTTATTGTATTTGGTTTGGGATTGCATTTACAGGATTTTGAAAGGGAAGCAAAAGTATCTTCCCAGATCTATTTGTCTTAGGCCAGAATGCAAACGAGGTTGCTATTTCTGTAGGCTACAAACTGTGTCTAAGGGGAAAGAGTTGGAGGCTTAGGAAAGGCTAACCAGGATTGGAAATCTACCCTAGACAATCCATAAAATGCATAAGCATCCTGATGAAATAGAGATTTGAGAGTTGATGGGAATAGGACACCAAAAAGGGCCAGTTTCTTTGTTACTTAGAATTACAAGCAGTATCACTGGTTGTTCAGAGATGTGTCCACAGTATTGACAGCTGACCGTCCTTGTTTGAGAATAGTGATTTCCTATTGGACAAAAAAGTCTCCCATTCACTCTTGGTAGAGAAATGGCCCAGCACTTCATGTACAGCTGTGAGAACCAGTCAACATCCTTACATTATTACTCTCCCTGATCCTTGACTACCATCAACACAAAGGCCAGGAATTCTGCTCTCATTAAAATCATAGATGGATGGGCTTAATTGTTTTACATGGTCACAATCATATGCTCACATCTTCTGTCTGGGGCATCTATGCAGAAGCTATTAGGAAAACACCATATCTTGAAATACGAAGAGAAATTCCTTTATTGACCTGAGAGTTAGGTTGTCATCCTCAGCTATTAATGAAACATCTATTCTTAAGAATAATATTATCAGAAGTGCCTAGAAGACCTTTGTTGGGGAATTTTTAAATTGTTTTAAATTTTGTTAAGTTTTTAAGTTAATTCCAGTTTAGTTAACATACAGTGTTTATTAGTTTCAGGTATACAATATAGTGATTCAACAATTCTATACATTATTCAATGCTCATCATGATAAATTCTCTCTTTAATTCCCATCACCTATTTAATCCATCCTCCCACCTACCTCCCCTCTGGTAACCACCAGTTTGTTCTCCATAGTTAAGAGTCTGTCTCTTGGTTTCTCTCTCTCTCTCTCTTTTCCCTTTGTTCATTTATTTTGTTTCTTAAATTCCACATATGAATAAAATCATATGGTATTTGCCTTTCTCTGACTGACTTATGTCACCTAGCATTATACCCTCTAGCTCCATCCATGTTGTTGCAAATAGCAAGATTTCATTCTTTTTATGGTTGAGTAATATTCCATTGTATATATGTACCCCACATCTTCTTTATCCATTCATCAGTAAACAGTCACATGGGCTGCTTTTATAATTTGGCTATTGTAAATAATGCTGCTATAAACATTGGGGTGCATATGGGATTTAAAAATTTTACTATTCAATGAAATCCCCAGCTAAGTCTAGTCCCTAAAGGGTTTTGTTATTAAGCACCATTAACCAATAGTAGTGTAGTACTTTAAAATTTACAAGATATTCTCATATATTCTGCTCAATTTGATCATCACAACAACCCTGTGAGGTAGAACCACCACAGTTCTTTCTGTTTCACAGCTGCAGAACATGAGCTGAAGGATGTTCAGTGATTTGTCCATGATCCCATAGCATGATCCTATAGACAGTAAAGGGACTATTGTGAATGTTTGGATTTATAGTTCTTAAAAGCCCATTATAGTCATTTTATTAGGGTTTCAAAAAAAAAAAAACCCTACTTCAACGTCTTCAGCCAGATACCTCTTTCCTGTTAAGATATGCTTTATATTTGAGTGCGTGTGTGTCTGTCTGTGCTGAGGAACTGGTAGGGGTTCGTCACAGATTAGATGGATAGATGATAGATACCTTCTATAACACTATTCTCTGAGTGCAAGGTATTGTATATGATTATAGAAAATTTGGACAACAGAAAAGTTAAAAACAGAAAACAAAAATCACCTTTAATCCCTGTTGTGCCTTTTCTTTTAAAGTTTAAAACCAACTATGAGAAGAGAAGCTTTAAAGTGCCCATCCAGTCCAATGAAACACTCGTGAGCGCCGTGATAAACAATGTGTCGGAGGCCATGGAGACTCTTACAAGGATCACAGAGGAGCTGGTCCCAGTTCCAGGGTCTGTGAATGGGGTCAATGCCCTTGGACTAGTTGTCTTCTCCATGTGCTTTGGATTTGTGATTGGAAACATGAAAGAGCAGGGGCAAGCCCTGAGAGAGTTCTTTGATTCTCTTAACGAAGCCATCATGAGATTGGTAGCAGTGATAATGTGGTACGTATTTCCATTGGCTACATATGCTGTATCCAGATGCTTATTACCATCAACATGTGTTCTGTACTGAGGAAGATGCCACCAGGCAGGATAGCCAATTGCAACAATTCCACGTGGGTAAACACAAGAAAATCAATGATTTTCTGGGCCTGTAGTGGCCTTGAACCTGTCTGCAAGCCTCTCTTAATAATTTGCTTCCTTGTTTTTGAAAGGTGTCTACTTCTTCACTCCGGTGCTGATGGGATCCCATTCCTCATTCCTTCATTTTATATCTATTTAGTCTATATCTATTCAATATATGTTCATTAAGTGTCTACTATATGCCAAGCATATAATGCCAGGTACTCTGGACATAGCAATGAAGAAAACAGACGAGGATGTCCTAGAGCTTGTATTCTTTTAAGGGACATAGAAAATAAACACACAAATCCACCATGTGCTTTAGTAACAAATACTGTGAAAAAATAAATAAAACAGCAGATTTTCTTTTGTGTGATCTGATATGATAAAAGGCAACTGGGGAAGAAGCATAAAATTTGCCTTGGATGGTTTGAATGGTTCACAAAGGCCTCTGAGGAGGTGAGTTTGTTGCTAAGATCTGACTGACTAGGAGAAGCTAGCCATTCAAAGTGCCAGGGGAAGAGCATTCTCAGTGGAGGGAAAAGCAAACATAGAGGCCCCTTGACCTTCAGAAAAAGTGAGATTGCCTCTCCTCCGTTTCAGCCCTAAGAAAGAGACATCAAATGGCAATTTGGTGGACCGCCTGAAGGACTCATGGGAAGCATTATAGAATGCCAATCCACAGTTTATAACAAAACTTCCTTCAAATAAAGTTGAGAGTAGGGTACAAATGAAAACACTAAATCTGCAAAGGAACATTGACCTTGGAGAGTAAATTCTCGCCAGCTGGGAGAGAACCGTTTGATTGGTTTAGGCCTCATGTAGGGGTTACTTTCCCTTTGGCCTTTATTTTTAATCCATACTCCTTCTTGGCACTGGAGGGACGGAGGCATCCATTTCTAAGAAAAGCCCTCGCCAACATGATTAAAAATATCCTTTGTCTTTATTGCCTCCAAAGCCCAGAGAAATCCATTTTTCAGGAGCTTGTACGAGGTGGATGTGAACTTGGGCACGAAGACTGATCAGAATGTGGTCTCCACAGGAGCCCTTGATTGAAATCCTGGGGCCCCTCCTTTGAAATCCTGGCAGAGCTGAAAGTGGACATTTATCTTCATATTATGAAAATGCCTCCACCTTTCACCTCTTTTATGAAAGAAGCCCATTCAAGGCTGCTGAATGAACCTCACATGTAGCTTTTCTAGCTGTACATTTGCCTGCACATTCAGCCTTGAGTTATTACATTTCTGAAAACAGGTACTCTTATAATTTCCTGGCCTGTGTTTTTAAAGGACGTTTAAAAGAAGCATTGTATTTTTCAACTTGAAATAAGACCTCCACAGCTCCCAGCAGACCCTTCTCCTTCAGGGTGATTGGCCCCTCTGTTTTTGGTAACGTGAGTTTGGGCATAGTTCACTGCATACATCAAAGGGAGTTGAAAGCAGGGCAGAGGGATCTTGATGCAACAGGGGTTGCTATACATACAAGTTGTTTTGTGTCTCGTTTGTTCATTCTTGCCAGGCTACAGGGGAAGATCACAAATGTCAGTAGCAGCGGGTGGGTGACAATTACTTAACTAGAACATCTGTAACCTGATCGTGGCGGTACCTGCATACACATTGTTAATTTGAATAGCTTTGGATTGATTATATGGTTGCCTTCGATCTGTGGGAAATGGTACTAGTTTTCCATTGCCACGATAACATGAAATTTACTCAGTAAATTTATATAAAAGTTGATTTGAAGACTAATACTGAGTGATAGTGTAAGTGGTATGTAATATGGGGAAAAAGTAACAAAAACGGACTTCGATTAAGAGAGATAACTGCAAATCTAAAACACTGAAATGGCATTGTGTGTGTCTTGCTTTAAGTTGGAACGCAGGCTCTGATGTGGGAAACCCTCCCAAAGTCTGGATATTGGTTCAGTGGATTCTGGCTGTGCAGGGTACTTAGAGAACAAAAGGCAGGGGAGTTGGGTGGCATCTGAGGACCGCAAAAGTGACTCAGATGAGGTGAAAGGAGAATGATCTAGAAAAAGACGTGAGAAAAAAACCAAAAAACAAAAAACACCCCACAAAACCTTTGTACCTGTCTTTTATCATAGGCTAAGGAGAAAAAAAAAATTGTGGCCTAGCGAAATTCTGAGAGGAAAGCCTGATTATGCGCTATTTATATTTAAATTTATATTTAAAAAAGAAAAGAAAAGGGGCGCCTGGGTGGCTCAGTCATTTGAGCATCCGATTTCAGCTCAGGTCCTGATCTCCTGGTCCATGAGTTGGAGCCCCACATCCAGCTCCGTGCTGACAGCTCAGAGCCTGGAGCCTGCTTTTGATTCTGTGTCTCCCTCTCTCTCTCTCTCTGCCCCTCTCCCACTCACGACATGTCTCCCCCCCCTTTCTCTCTCTCTCTCTCTCTCAAAAATAAATAAATAAATTTTAAAGAAAAGAAGTTCACAGTTTCTGCAAGTTCTAATAGTCTCCTGGGCACAAAAAGTGTGGAAATAACCCTCACATTTTCTTGTCACGTGGTAGTTTCTTTGGAATAGCTCATTGGAGATCAGGCTTCCGACTGTGCGTATGTTGCTTCTACATAGGTACGCCCCTCTGGGCATCCTCTTCCTGATTGCAGGGAAAATTGTTGAGATGGAAGACATGGGAGTGATTGGGGGGCAGCTTGCCATGTACACGGTGACGGTCATCGTCGGCCTGCTCATTCACGCAGTCATTGTCCTGCCCCTCCTCTACTTCTTGGTAACTCGGAAAAACCCTTGGGTTTTTATTGGAGGGTTGCTGCAGGCACTCATCACAGCTCTAGGAACCTCGTCCAGGTATGTATGGATATATGTGTGGCTTATTCCTATCAAGAAATGTAGCTCAAACTTAACTTTAATCCAGAACCCTGGGAGGCAGATGGGGGGGCAGGGGGTGCGGTTCTGGGTTTTACACTTCCAGGCATATGAATTGGCCTTTTCACTCAGGTGCTAATCAGACCTAGTTGGGATTGAGGGAATGGTTGGCTCTCCTTTGGGGAGACAAACATATCAGCTATTCCTTTCCTGCCCACTGTCATCTCTCTCTTCCAGTTGACCTTTGCCTGAGGGAAAGATGGCAGAGTCACTCGGCACAGGCCATGAGGATAGGGGATAATCACAAGTGATGCCTCACAGAAGAACCCAGGAGCAGGAGAGCTGCAAATAACCCAGTGAGGGGACCCACACTGTTGCTAACCCTAATCCCCTATTTATACAAGTGCTGACTTAGTTCCCTTTAAATTAGGACATGGGAGAGGAAGGAACTCTGTCCAAAGTACCAAACACAGGGTCATGGTCTAAACCATCTGGACGATCAGCTGACACACCTTTTTTTTTTTTTTTTTTTTTTTTTTTTTTTTTTTTTTTTTTTTTTTTTTTAACCATTCTCAGTTCTGCTACCCTACCCATCACCTTCAAGTGCTTGGAAGAGAACAATGGTGTGGACAAACGAGTCACCAGATTTGTGCTCCCAGTGGGGGCAACCATTAACATGGATGGGACTGCACTCTATGAGGCTTTGGCTGCCATTTTCATCGCTCAAGTTAACAACTTTGAGCTGAACTTTGGACAGATTATTACAATCAGGTATGAGGAAAGTTCTACACACTTGCTTAAGAATGACTTTACATGATGAGACGGTGATCAGGGATTGGATGAAGAAACTTGTTGGAAAGCAGATCATACATAAACCGGAGGTTGGGGTTTGTGGCAATAGCTTTACTTTTGATATTTAGATATTTTTATTAGTTTTTTTAAATTGCAGATGTACACATTTATTAATAATGAAATTCTAATAATATAGAAATGTAGATAGTAAGAAGTGTAACTTACCTGCCACTATCACCCCCCCCCCATCTTTCCATAGGTGACCACTGTTAATGTTTGGGGTACAAAAACCATTTCTAGTGCCTAGACACACACACACACACACACACACACACACACACACACTTTTTTTGTAATTAATGGAATCATACCATGCATACTGCTTGTCACTGGATTGATTTATTTATCAATGTACCATCGATAAAACATCTCTTTTAAAATCTACAGAATATGGGGTGCCTGGGTGGCTCCATGGGTTAAGTGGCCGACTTCAGGTCAGGTCATGATCTCACGGTCCGTGAGTTCAAGCCCCATGTCGGGCTCTGTGCTGACAGCTTGGAGCCTGGAGCCTGCTTTGGATTCTGTGTCTACCTCTCTTTGCCCCTCCCCTGCTCGTGCTCAGTCTCATTCTATCTCTCTCTCTCCCAAAAATAAATCAAAACATTAAAAAAAATTTTTTCAATAAAAAAAATAAAAATAAAATCTACAGAATACATAGTATGGATATTTCTTTTTTTAAAATGTTAGATTATACTTCAGTTTTAAATAGCATTAAAATGCATTAGCTTTTACTGACAGTATTAAAAAAATACACTTGAAAAACTGGATTAACATTTTCTCTTGGGTTAATTTTTAGGCACTATAAAATAGAGGAGAGGCCACATGGACAAATAGATTGAGAATTTTATTTCCGTGGACTATTTTTTAACTATTACATTTGAGGTATCTGGTGAAAGGTAATTTTCCTTTCCACACCTTCCCCTAATTTTTTAGCTTCCTTCTCCAGAGGCAACCACTGTGGCTTGCTAATTTCTTTTATATTCTTCTGGCACTAGCCCATGCATATCCACGTGCATATGTGATTGTAACCCCCCATTTTTACTCATTGACAGTCAGTTATGCACAACAGACCAATAAGTGACTGCAAGAGAGACTCACAATCCAGATCAGACCCTCCTCTTCAGTGTGTGTGTGTGTGTGTGTGTGTGTGTGTGTGTGTGCATGAATTATTATCAGCAATTTGTTTTGGATATCAAAATAGTTTTTTTCACTTTTCATTATAAAAACTCTCTTACAAATGGGAAAGTTGAAATAAAATGATGACAGACATCTACCCAAATCCAACGATTAACATTTTACCATTTTTTGCCTCTTTCTCTGCCTTCATTACATTTCACATATACAGAGTCCAACATAGATCTCCTGAGAATAAGAGTCATTTTCTACATAAGCACAATAGTAGGAATCTTTAAAATACTTCCAGAATACCCACTCTGTATCTAAATTTCCCCAGTTTCCCCAAAAATATCTTGTGTAGCTTTTTCCCCTAGACCACAATATAATCCATATCTATGGCTTGCATTTGGTTTTTATGTCATTTTAGTCTGTTTTCAATCTCTCAATTCCCCCACCTTTTGTGTGTGTGTACACATATGTTTATTCGGAAATAAGTTATGTTAGACTCCATATATATGTTTTGAGTTACTGGAAAATAATAATAGTCGTAGGATGCGTGATGATTAAAAACTGAGGCCGATCATGGCCAGAAGTGAGTGGCCTGGGTGTTCTGGGAGGCCTGAGCACAATCTGACCACACTGGGACTGGGAGGTCAGTATCTCAGCTCACCATAACCTATTCTTGGGCATACTCTGGTATACTGGTTGAAAATCCCTGAGTTATAAACAAAGGTTCAGTTGCATGTGGCAGAGTAAAAAAATAATAATAACAATAAGAATGACTTCAAGACAGAACTGCATTTTTTCCTCATGTGGAACAGCTCTGTTCCACAAAGCCCTCAAGGCTGGTAGGTGTTTTACAGTGTAAGGGACTGGGGTGTCGTTTCCATCGTCTCTGGGGTGTCACCCTCATCCAAGTGGTCCAGGATGGCTTATCATCACCTCCAAATCTTAGCCACTGGGAAGAGGAGGAGGGCATAGCATGCAAGGTACTTGGTCACTTTCATCCATATTTCATTGGCCAGAACTTAAGCTCCAAGGGAGGCTGGGAAACGCAGTCTTCATTCTGAACAGCCATTTACCAACTAAATACTCTAGTACCACAGAAGAGGGACAATATGAGGGAACCATATAGTCTCCTCCACAGACGTACTGCTTCATTAATTCCACTTTATATCTAGGTAATACTTTACTATTTATAAAACATTTTCCATAGTGTCACATCAGCCTGAATCAAATAGGTATTTAACAGAGTCCTAGACAGGTTGTATGCCTTACAAATCAGGTCTACGCTGCCTCCATAAAAAATATTTATAGTCATACAGAACTTTGTTCATAAATCATTTGCTTTTGCATTAATAACTTTGATTTGTTTTTTCTGACCACATTAACCTTACAAGTTCAGTAGCTTTACAATCCTCTACTTGGACAGAATTATTGGAAACAAATTGTTATTGTAACTATGCAGTCTTTTAGACCTTGGAAAATGTTTTCAGGTATGTGCAAAAGTACATAGCTACCAATTTCTTCATTTAAAAATGGCTGTAGTAGGGGCGCCTGGGTGGCTCAGTCGGTTAAGCGTCCGACTTCGGCTCAGGTCATGATCTCACCGTCTGTGAGTTCAAGCCCCGCGTCGGGCTCTGTGCTGACAGCTCGGAGCCTGGAGCCTGCTTCGGATTCTGTGACTCCCTCTCTCTCTGACCCTCCCCGTTCATGCTCTGTCTCTCTCTGTCTCAAAAATAAATAAATGTTAAAAGTAAAATAAAATTTAAAAAAAAAAGAACCTCTTCATAAATACTGGTTAACGTTATTGTTAGCTCCGCGGGTTTTTTACACTCTCATCTAAAGTTTTCTAAAGCACATCCTCTTCTGTTAACTTGGCAAGTCAGACATCGCCGCTGTGCATGGTTTTTCCAGGGCCTATCATTTGGGGAGATGTGTACAAGTGTTTTACGTTTGGGGAATTCTTTTAACAGCATCACAGCCACAGCCGCCAGTATCGGGGCAGCTGGGATTCCTCAGGCGGGCCTGGTCACCATGGTCATCGTGCTGACATCCGTGGGCCTGCCCACCGACGACATCACGCTCATCATCGCCGTGGACTGGTTTCTGTGAGTATGCTCCGACTGCCTCCCGGCTTGCTGTCGCAGGGACCCCCTCTGTCTTCCTTAGGAACCTGGCAGCTGGGCACTCCCACCAAAAGGGCTCCAAGAGCAGGGGCAGCTTGGCGTGTAATTGAATTGTCCTCACCGCCTTGTCCCTGCCCTTATCTGGAGGCCAAGTCCCAGACGCCAAGCGCTCTCGCTCCCTTATCAGCCCAGGGGGCACATCTGGCAACTACACTTCTCACTCCATAAAGCCATCCGGCGATTGGGAAACCGGCTGTCTGAAAGCCGACATAAATCAGCAAGGCATTTTCTGAATTGCACAACACGTCCTCGTGGTGGTGAGAACAGAACTACAGGCCCCACACACTGGCTCAGGCCCTTTTCCTTGTGCTTCCCATTCCAATGGCGTAATGCAGCACAGATGTGCACGTCTGAACCCAGCGGGGAGAGGGGCAGCCGTGCAGTGGGAGAACTAGTGAAGCAGAAATGACTTTTGGCTCTGGGGAAAAGGCACCCCCCCATCCCCTCAGACCCTAATTTGGGGGGCCCAGCCCTCTCTCATGTTCCCCTCACCCTTCCAGCTGACATTATCTGCCTCTTTTCTCTCATAAATTCCCTTTCCGTTGCAAAAACATCTTTTCACAGGCTGCCCAAAGCCAATGCCTAGAAGGACACAGTAGATGCTGGAGTCAACTGTATGTTGTCTTCACTAGAAGGGTCACGAGGAGCTGACGGGTGTGCTCAAGGCACGATAGGTGGCAGCAGGGTAGGCAGTTGAGAGCATGAGTCCCACAGTCACTTGGATCTGTTTGCATCCCAGCCCGGTGTGACATTGGGCAGCCTCACCAGCCACCCCAGTTTCCACCTCTATAAAATGGAGATGATAAAGGCCATCCACCACCCACTGGGGCTGCGAGGATTAACTGCAATGATGCACGGAAAGCATTCAGCCCACTGTTGGGCCCACGGTTGGCACTCAACTCCTTGAGCACTTTTATAGTGTAAAACTGTGATTCTCAAAGCTTTTACCCTCAGGACCCCTTTATACTTAAAAACTACTGAGGATCCCAAAAGTTTTTATCTATATGGATTCTATCAATATTTATCATATTAGGAAAACAGACAGTTTTTTAATTTTTTATGCTTTTATTTTATTTTTGAGAGAGAGAGACAGAGTGCGAGCGGAGGAGGGGCGGAGAGAGAGGGAGACATAGAATCCAAAGCAGCCTCCAGGCCCTGAGCTGTCCGCACAGAGCCTGACACGGGGCTTGAAGTCATAGACCATGAGATCATGACCTGAGCTGAAGTTGGATGCTTAACTGACTGAGCCCCCCGGGCGCCCCGAAAACAGACGTTTTTAAGTGCTAAATTCATTTAAAGGTTATAATAATAAATTCATTACATCTTAACATAAATAATATTTTTGCAAAAAAGTGTCATTTACCAAACTAAAAATTTTGGGAAAAGAATGATACCCTTTTATTTTATTTTTGGAAATCTCCTTAGTGTCTGGCTTAATGCAAGACAGCTGGGGTCTCCTAACTGCTTCTGCATTGAATCTGTTGTGGTATCTTTTGTGTTATGTTGTAGTCTTTACAAAACCCCACTAGGCTTTCATGAAAAAATGGAACAAAAAAGGGCAAATAACATCTAGCATTATCACGAAAATAGTTTTGGAGCATCTGGGTGGCTCAGTTGGTTAAGCATCTGGGTGGGCTCAGGTCATGATTTCATGGTGGGTGAGTTCGAGCCCCAAATCGGGCTCACTGCTGTCAGCACAGAGCCTGTTTTCGGATCCTCTGTCCCCCTCTGTCTCTCTGCCCCTCCCTGTTTGTGCTCTCCTCTCTCTCTGTCTCTCTCAAAAATAAATAAACATTAAAAAATAAAATAAAATAGTTTTGACCACAGGCACCCCCAGGGGTCTCTGGATCACACTTTGAGAACTGCAGATATAAAGGAAGGTGAATTGTAGGAAAGAGAGGCAACGAGAAATTTTAAATAAAAGGGGAAAGGGAAGGGTCATTACCCACCATTAAGACTGGAACTAGTAACTGAAGATTGGTAATCCTTATATCTTTTTGTAACTACTATTATAAATATTATGGGTATTATGTGATGTTGCAATTGGTGGATACACCAAGCAGAATTTTAAAAAGATGCCTCTAAAGACTTAGCAGCCGGTTCACAATACGAGCTGAGATCACATGATGTTCACAGGAGCCCCATTTTTCCTCCCCCACACCCACACCCCCAGGGACCGCCTACGCACCACCACCAACGTGCTGGGAGATTCTCTTGGAGCCGGCATTGTGGAGCACTTGTCAAGACACGAACTGAAGAACCGAGACGTAGAAATGGGTAACTCGGTCATCGAAGAGAATGAAATGAAGAAACCCTATCAGCTGATTGCCCAGGAAAGCGAAAGTGAGAAACCCATGGACAGTGAAACCAAGATGTAGACTAACACACAAAATGCTTTCTTGAGCAGCAGGTGTTTGCAAACCATTGTAAAATGTTTCCATCTCGTTACAACTCATTCTGTCCAGTAAGCCCCTTACCTCCCTTGTCCTGCGTTAATACACTGATAGGATTGGGAAGTATTCATCCAAAAACAAGGGAGGATTTTGCGAGTCGGATCAGATCTTACAAGTTTATGTGGCACACAAAACTGTAAATGTGGTTCTTTTATAAGGTAGAGAGTCAAACAAATAGTAGGCTAAAACATGCTTTTAAATCAACCTGCAAAGTTTAAAAATCCTTCAGAATACAATTCAGTTTTAGTATCAAAACAAAACAACTTGATAAACCACAATCGGTTATCAAATGGGACAGTAGAAGGGTTTGTTCCCCTTTCTCTGCCGGTTTGTGTTTTGATTTTATTAATAGCAAGACAATATGAATACTCACCTAGTGCACCTGTGAGGAGGCACATAAAAGTGAAATTTCCATGTGGCCATGGGCACGTTACATCTCCTCTAGGCCTCAGTGTTCTCATCCGTAAAATCAAATGAGTTCCCCAGATGCCTTTATGGTCTCTTCTAGCCCAAACATCCTGTGACATCACGAAGAGCCTCCCCTCTATTTTCCCTTGGAACATCCTGTCCCAAGCAGGTATGATTCCATGGACCATGGGACTTTCAGAAAGGACGTTTACTAGGAATGAACATTTCTAAGTAGGGGACGGATGGCTGTGCGGTTTAACCAGGTCCTGTGGCCAGAATATCAGTCATGCAAGTCACCAGGCTGGAGGCCATTTCGGGAGCGGAATTATTCACGAAACTCTGCTCGGTCCTTCCCAGTACGGGAAATAGGCCCTTCTTTCCTATTCTTCCCAAACCGAAGGTACTTCTCTGGGCAGGATGTCTCCCACCACTCCTCAACTGACTATGGACTTTTAGGAAGTAAAATGTAAGACTAGCAACTAGCAGGCATGCTCATAGTCTTACTATGGAACACTAAAGAGCCAGGTAGGAAAGAATGGAGCATGGTTGACGTTACACAGGGGATTTTGAGACACCAAGATTTATAGATGATCTTTAAGGAAGAATTTAAAAGGAGAGGTTCTTTTTTTTTTTTTTTTTTTAACCTGAAACACTTTGTCTCTTCAGTTCAAAATCATCCCCCAAGGAGGTCCGCATATGAAAATATGAGGTCACTTCTTATATATAAAGAAGTCAAATGAATGAGCTCTCTCTCTAATAGAGGTCCGTGAGCTGGGTGGGTGGTCTCTTATTTGAAAAAAGTTTTTGCCTATAATCAGAAGTTCTTAGAATAAGAGAAACAAGATATTTCTTTGTGTAAGAATTCCACATACCAAGTCATTCAAACCCTTCGGCCGGAGTGGGGTTTGGTTTTATTTTGTTTGTGTCCCTGAGAGAAATGGTAGAAGATGAATCAGTATAAAGACACGGTCAATGGGGTTCCAAGAAAAAAACAGCAGGGGCATTAGTTTCAGGCGAGGCAGCTCCCAGGTTTAGAGGAGATTAATTTTTTACCCCCTAAGGAGTATTCATTCAGTCAAAGACATGAAGTGGGAACTGTCAGACAATACCAGCTGTGTTTGAGTCTCTGACCGAAAATGGTGAAGAATGGGTTTAATTATGCTAACAGACTGGATATCTAGACATACACCCTCTGATATACAGTTAGAGACATTTTTTCTAGAGATCGTGAGCATCACGTGTGTACAAAAGTTAACGTTAGGCTGTGGTGGAATAACCATTTAATGCCAAGGCCTTATTTGGGAGATACACTCTGAAGGTTAATGTACATGGCTGTCGTCTCACGACACCAGTAGAGCAAAAATTAATCATGTCAAATTAATTCTGTTACGCCGTGTGATCTTTTTTTTTTTAATACTAACCATTTCTTATGGAAAGTAAATCCTCTAGGACGATCCTCTCGCCAGCCCATCACAGGCTCTGCATATAACATGCACCCCGTGTGGACTGAGAAACATTACTTTGTAGATGTATTTTCAATAAAGAAAAAAAAATAGTTTTACATTATAATTTTGTATGTTGTTGTTATTCCCATAAAGTTCCCATTCATGGAAGTATTGCAGTAAGCTCAGGCCAATGCCGGGAAGGGATCCCCTCCAGATCTCTGTAGGTTTTTACTAGGCAAAAGCTTGGGAGGACCAGCTGGGGGAGCCAGTCACAAGAAAATGAGGAAGGACGCCTGCTCTCCCGCCCAAGTCCTAGAACTAGGCTTGGTGAGGGAAGCACTTTGCAGTAACAGCCCGCCCTTACTTGTCCACATAAATTTCTCAGAGAAATTGAATCATTTCCACGTGGGGATTAGAAAAGTGTAATGCCACCGTTGATTCTCCCCAAAAAGTAATTTCCTGCCTGGCCTTCAAATTAGGTAGATTTATCTATGTGATTACTGCTGCCATTTGTGAAAAGAGCTGAATAAGATCTCAAGGGATGTTTCAGAAGCAGCCCCCGTGCTAGTAAACCCTTCTTTTCATAAAGAACAACTTGTGGACTACTGCATTTTCCCCTTCGGGCTTTTTAATAAAAAAAAAAAAAAAAAAAAAAAAATTGGCAGACAGTATTATGGAATGCCCAGGTTGAGGTTGTGTCTGGAGACTCTTAAATGTGACCCTCTACCTGTAGGTAACAGTCAGAGGAGAGGCTCTTAAGTAGGGTCTGGAAACCCTTGGGTCATGGGTTTCCATGTGAAGACCTCAGTGGGTTTGCATAGCCCTTGAAATTGTAGGGAAGGCTTTGTGCATTTTCTTTTTTCTGGGGTAGAAACTTTAATTTCCATCTGTTTCTCTGAAGCCTCTTTTGACCAAAAAATTTACAAATCAGCGTTTGATCAATAACACATCCTAACTTATTTCAAGGCATCTGTGGTATTCACATAGCTGATTGGGGAGGTTCACAGCCCGAGGGAACCAAACCAGCGCTGGCCACCTTGAGGAGACCCATATCTGGACATGTGTGAGGACATTCTGGGCACAGAAGCATTCAGGGAAGTGCCACAAAAGATCAATCCAGTACTAGGAAATGCTTCCTGCTGCAATCACCAGGCTTTTTCTCACTTCTGCAGTCTAAGCTGGGTTTTGCACCCTTTCCAGAGTGCAAGCCTGAGAAGCTGGTCATCCTCCTGTGGGAGGTCTGTGGAGACATAGCAGCTCGGTCAAGGTGTGACTGTATGGCCCGTTTTGGGGGGCGGGGTGGGGTGGGGATGCAGAAGATGATGGGGAAGGAAAACATAGATCGTTAGGCGTGGTCGTCACAGATCTGTTCACAATATAACTGAACATTTTTCAGGTGAACTTCTTAAAAATGTTTCTGATAAGTAAATACATTTCTAACAAAGTTTTTAAATCCTACACTTTGAGAAGCTGG